CCAGACCTGAACTGGGAACACTGGATTCCCAACATGTTCTTGGTCTTCAGCACATTTTACGGTCGCTTCATTTGTCCAAGTCCACGAAGGTCCGTCTGAACTACAGAAACAATCTGGACACTTAATTGTTGCTCTGTATGTTTTGTATCCACATTCTGCCTCTCCAACAACAAACTGAAACTCTGGAGAAAACACAAAGTTCTGCTCCATTAAATCACTTCATGTCCATCAAAAAACCACATCTGTATTCTGAGCGGCGAGCAGACGAAGGGCTGACCACTGGCTGTTAAAGATAAGTGGTCCGTCTCGTGGTCAGCCATAAAGTCTCCCAGTGTCGGGACATGACGGCTGCCAGCAGCTCACTGCAGGGTTCACGTGTTAGAGACATGTTTCATCAGTGTTTGAAATCACTGACAGACAGGTTGTTCATGTATCATAAACCAGCAGGTGGCGCTGTTTGAGGTTCGGGTGCTTCAACCTGCAACTCCTCTGGTCCATCAAAGCCCCCCAGTCCTAACATTCAAGTACTGATTCATGTAAAGATCAGCACACTCAAGTTTGTCAGCGACACATCGATAAGGCCCTGAACTTGTTTCCATTATTGTCTCTGCTGTTTACACAGACAGACAGACAGACAGACAGACAGACATTACATCTGTGTCAGGTCATCAGTCTGTGACCACAGGAAGACAGAAGGTACCTGAGAAGGACAAGATCACCCACTTTACTAAGTTTCTGTTTTCTGACAGCAGCCTCATCACTGATCTCCCTCGTTGAATCCTCATCACTGGATCCTGTCCACTGCCTCCCCTAACAGGATCCTCCTCACTGGATCTGACAAACTGGATTTCATTTGTCATTCATTTGTGACATAATTCACCACAATAAGGTTAGAACCACTGAAAATAATGGCAGATATTTCGAGAGGTTAAACACATACAGTTCCACAATGTTGTCACCCTCTCTGTATCTGCCTTTCTACTCATCTCATGAAGACAAAATTAAACTACAGCTGTAATTCAGGGTTCAACTACTCACAGACTGCTCAAGGTTCACAGCTGCAGAGGATCCAGACCTCTAACAGATCACCACACCTGCGTTGTAGATAAATAACACGCCACGCTCTCCTTCAGCAGCACTGTCGCCCCCTATTGGAAACGGAGAAAACCTTTTGGGGACGTATTTCAACAACAGCAACAACTAGCAACAAGCGCAGATTTCCTCTGCTCATATTTCAGCCAGGATAAATCACACACAGTGTGTGGAGGCTTTATTGTCTTCACAGTTTATTGTTTCTTATCTGTGAAATTAAAGTAAATCAAAGCTTTGTTTCCACTGAGGGAAATGGTTTCAGCTCACAGAGACAAACAGGAGGTCTGCGTCACTGTGACGTGGAGTTACATTAATGAGGAGCTGCACGTCAGGCTACGCCGTATGTACGGCGTCAAATAGACGCAGAAGTTTAAATCCCGCTTTAGCTCTATTCATGTGCTGAGCCATGTCACTTTTGAAGTTCATTGCTCAATATCTTCAGAACACAATGAGATAATACCAAGCGTTTGATTCATTTTAATGAGCCTGGTAGTAAAATAATTCATAGAAAATTTGGCAACAATTGTGCTACGGTGTGCATGATAAGCGGCCGGTTACCGTTACCATTTTGGGGTCTGCCCGTTGGTCCGACCATATTAAACCCATTGTTCCGAAGTCCCATTGTTCCGAAATCATCATGATGCCCTGTGGTTAAGGTCTGGTTAGGTTTAGGCACAAAAACCACTTGGTTAGGGTCAGGAAAAGATCATGGTGTGGGTTAAAATGAAAAAGAAAGTGATAAACACATAAGCCGTGAGCCTGCTCTGCCTCAAGCCTTTCCCAGCTGACCCAGAGCCGGTCGCGGCGCAATATCAAGGTAGAAATACGCCCGCCAGGAGCCGTTCAGCACCGTGGAGAGCTTCCCACACAACCCCGACCCCAGAGTTAATAACAGGAGGTTATGGTGTTTCACTCTCTCCTCTCTATGACACTTGTATCTCGACCAGTAGCCTACTCTTGTTGCATTTGCTGATCCTCTTTGGTATACAAATACAGTATAGCTTAATATAATCACGTATCAGAACAATGGGACGTCGGACCAATGACATGGCGCCACAGTTTTAGAGTACCAGGCGACGTCAGGGGGATACATTGCAGGACAAGGACAAAATTTGAGGCGGCTAAAGTCCAAATGAGGCGGGCGGGCAGGCGGGCGGGATGGTGGATGGGTCCAACAAACACCAACTTTCACCCAAGAGAGCGGTGTTTATGTCCCGTAAGATTCTAAAGCTAAAGCCTGTTCTTTTTTTCCTAAACCTAACCACGTGGTTTTGTTGTTGGAGGGAAAAAACATCAATTTGCAGTGTTTTACTGACGCAGTGCTTTTATTTTCAAAAACACTGTATGAACGTTAAATTTCCTGTGAAAACTGAAGTGTGTCTTGAAAGAACTTCGGTGTCCCCGAATGTCAACAACCAGCGCACCCAGGGTACCTTGCACATCGTACGTGGACGAGGAAAGTCCACGACCAAAACGTCAATATGTGACGATGTGAGAATGTGTTGTTATAATCTTTTTTTATGTATGTAATTGTTCTTACTGGTTTTATTCTGTTTTATATTTGTGTACATTTAATATTGCAATATATCTGTGTGTCAGTCTTTTATGTTGAGCAGCACTTTGGTCATCTAGGGTTGTTTTAAAATGTGCTATATGAATAAACCTGATTTCATTTAGATTTTGATTTAGTTTCATGTACACACTGTTTACATATTCACAGAAAAAACTGTTCTGTTTGTCTTGAAAGATTAGTGAATATGATTAGTAGGAGTGTAACGATCCATCGATCTGGATCAATACATCGATTTAATAATTAACGATCCAATATCATCGATGCAAAATGAAAACATGGATCCATATCATCATCTTTAGCATAGGCTTTTATTTTGAAAGTCTGTGTAACCATCAAACAGCGGCAGGCAGACAGAGAGCAGCCGAGAGAAAGAGGATGAGGATAATGTTATTTACTCGGGAATAAATCAGCAGAGTGGAAATAATTTGCATTTTGGAGAAAATACAGGAAGACACACAGAACACATGTCGTATGTAAACAATGATGTCACGAGATAAAACGCGACGTTCCTGCCTGGACGACATCTCACTCCACTAACTTCTCACTGCAGCAACATCAGCTGCTGTTTCAACAATGTTCAGCTGAAAAACGTGCACGCTGGCTGAAATTCAACTTCGCTGTTCTGTCAGGAGACGCAGAGACTTAAACCAGCGGCGAGGAAGAAAAATATCTTACGTAGTAACTTTCCCCATGTGTCAGTGCAGTCAGTTTAAAGTCACCTTTAATGAACTTATTATTTATGTGTTGTTTTTATCTTTAATGACCAAAAGTGAAAAAAAGGAGGCAGCAGCTTCCTCTGTAACAGACTGTGTTTCATGATCAGATGATGTCGTCTCATATCAATCGCGAACCCCTGAATCGAATCGAAACCGTATCATGGCAGACTTTCTCCATCCATCCATTTTCATCCTTGTATTCAGGGCCGGGTCGCGGGGGCAGCAGGCCGAACAAATCACCCCAGACGTCCCTCTCCCCAACAACGCTTTCCAGCTCCTCCTGGGGGACCCCGAGGTGTTCCCAGGCAAGATGAGATATATAATCCCTCCGGTGTGTTCTGGGTCTGCCCCGGGGCCTCCTACCAGTGGGACGTGTCTGCAACACCTCTAACAGGAGGCGCCCAGGAGGATCCTGATCAGATGTTGAACCACCTCAACTGAACCGAATGCGAAGGAGCAGCGGCTCTACTCTGAGCTCCATTCAGACGTCTGAGCCCCTCACCTTATCTCTAAGGCTGACTTTGTAATATCGGAAAATATTGTATCGTTGTCCAAAGAATGGATATGATATCATATCGTGATGAAACTGGTGATTTACCGCCCTGATGATTAGATCAGTGAATATGATCAAAAACACTGGCGGTGGCTGGAAACCTAAAAATAATACTGTGACGGGGAGAGGTTCAACACAAAGTATTTCTATTTTCTGTAACGCTATACTTTGACTCCACAGATAAAGATTTTTAAATACGATAAATGCTGACGAGCGATCACAGAGTAAACTGTCTGTAATTTATAATCAAAGTTTCATCAGTCAAAATGTTGAAATGATGATTTTAAACGCACGGCTGCAGGAACTCTGATCTTCCTCCTCTCTGTGAGGTCTTTATGTCAGAATGACACAAGATGTTTCCACGTACAATCAGACAAACCGAACAAGTTCCTGATGATATGGTGCGTTCTACTCCTCCTCTTCCTCACACAGTTTCTTCATCAGGAGACATTTTAGACTCGTATGGTTTCTTCTCTGTCTGCAGAGCGTCTCATGATCTGACACTGAGGACCTGACTGATACAACACAGCTGATCTGAGACGTCCGACACGTCTGTAACATCATGTCTGTGATCCCTGAGAGACGAAGCATCCAACTTAGTCACACACTCAGAGTCGAGCACCAACCTGCTTCCTGCTCCGCTAATTAAACCACAGCAAATTAACGAGTCAGCTGTCAATCACACACACACACACACACACACACACACACAGGGACTTACTTCATTCAGCAGACGCCCGTCGTTCGTTCATTCCTCCAAAAACAGACTGAAAGAAGCTGCACATGGACGAGCAAAAGAGAGAGAGAGAGAGAGAGAGAGAGAGAGAGAGAGAGAGAGAGAGAGAAGAGGGCGGGTGAGCGAGCAGTAATCCCATTATTGTGAACGACACATTGTTCTGAGAGAGAGAGGGCGAGAGACATCCACACACAGAGAGGGAGGGTCCCAGAGGGGATGGAGGGGGGCGGGGCTTCACTGCACACAGGGTTGTGGGCGGAGCCAGAGTCATTAATATTTAATCAGCGGTTAGAGGCGTGAAGTTAGAGACGGGGGGCTTGGGGGGGGGAATCACAGGGAGGGTTTACGGCTTCGTCTGAGGGACACCACAGTCTCTGTCTCTACACAACACTGTCCCTCCCTGTCTCTGTCTTTGTCTCTGTCTCTGTCTCTGTTAGTCTGATAAATGTCACTCAGTCCTGAGGTTTCTGGAGACAGGCGACGTGTGATCTGAGCAACAGCTGAAAAAGAAAAAACAAAACAAAACATAAAAACGTCTCAGTGATCGACAGTCAGAGAGAAACATCTATCTGATGACTGAGTGAACACAACACACACACTGAACCCTCTGCAGGGAGACGTCCAGGTCCACCACAGACGCCGACTGTCACAAGTTCTGGTCCCAAAGCAAAGATGGACGCAAACGCAGACAGCAACTGTCACGTGCTCTTGTAACCAAACAATCATGGACATCATCTGTAATGTGTTCCTGTACTTAAACAAAGATGGACGCCAACTGTCACATGTTCAGGCACCAAAATTAAGATGGACACAAACGCCAACTGGAAAGTGTTCTTCTACTAAAATAATCATGGATGCCAAAACCGACATCAACTGTCACGTGTCCTTCTCGCCAAACAAAAATGGACGCCAACACGGACGCCAGCGGTTAAGTGTTCTTGTACTAAAATAATTTTGGACGTCACTGCCAACTTCAACTGTCACATGTTCTCTAACCAAAACAAAGATGGACGCCAACAATCATGGATGCCAATGCCAGCATCAACTGTTGTGTGTTCGTGTACCTAAACAAAGATGGACGCCAACATTGATGCCAACTGTAACATGCTCTAGCATCAAAATAAAGATGGATGCCAACACAGATGCTAACTATCGTGTTCTTGTACTAAAACAAGGACACTTCTACATGCAGAGCGGAGGAGCCGGGATCAAACCGCTGATCTTCCAATTAGTGGACGACCCTCCGTACGTCCGAGCCAAAGCCGGCAACTGTCACCTGTTCTTTTACCAAAACAAACATGGACGCCATGCAGCAGCAGTGTTTGTGCTCAAAGGGTTAAAGAAGCCTGGTGAGATCCTGGATGGTCTGTATGGAGCTTTATGGTCCCACAGCTCATCCGTCCCTTTGATTCTCCTCCATCAGCTGCTGCTGTGGGTGGTTCAATAATCCCACTGTGTGCCCTGGTGCATGATGGGAAGCAGCTGCTAAATATGAACATGAACATGTAGAAACACAAAATGAAACAAATAAAACAGTTTCTGCAGAAAACTGAAGCCTGAGAGTAAAAATAACGGCTCTCGTGTTTCTTCTTGTTCATGTTCCTGTTCTTCTGCCTCTGTCATCTCTTTTTTGGTTTTCTTCTTCTTTGGTTTGACGCCAAAATAAATCCCGTCCTTCCTGCTCTCTGACTGTGGAACATGATTATCAGGATCAATAGTGATCAGCTGATCAGTCAGTGGAAACGTGTCTGAGTGAGACTCTGTCTGTCACAACGTCTCTGCTCAGGTGAGTCAAACTTTCTCTTTGTTTCCTGCTGTCTGATTGGTTCACAGCTCAGCGGTCACAGCAGGTGAGAATCAGAAACTGTTCAGGTCGTCATGGTAACCACAGACAGTTAAATGTGATGTGTGTGTGTGTGTGTGTGTGTTATCAACCTCATCTTATCTGTGACACAACACAGTGCTCGTAAAACATGTGTGTGTGACCTCATGTGACAATGCATTCATTCGTGTGTGTGTGTGTGTGTGTGTGGGAGCTCAGCTGGGAGTGTTTGTCCACCTTCTCATCAGGAGCCTCATGCAATATTAATCTCTCTCACACACACACATTCACACACACACACACACACACACACACACACACACACACACACACAGGGTCACATGCACCGCTGCACACACACACCAATCAAACACACAA